CATTTTTCACATACACTATGTAAGATATAAATTTGGAGTGTCAATAATTTAGAAAATACTGGCATAAATATACAGAGAATTTTTAATTACCAACCTAAAAGAGAATTAATCCATTATAGATCTCTGCACTTCTCTTGCTTTATTATTTTAATCTCCACTATATAATTCATTTTGTTTCTTTTTAACATGTCCAAATCTGACATGACTTTATGGTAAAATATCAGAACTCACCTTCTTCTAGAATTTTAAACTGGTTAAACCTGTTTTCCCCTTCATGGATCACAGCCTTGTTATGGCGAAGGGGCTTGTGTAACTCTGAAGCTATGAAACATGCCATGTAGGGCTACCAAGATAGAGGGGTCAAAGTGGAGAGTTCTGACAAAACGTGGTTCACTGGAAGAGGGATGGCAAACCACTCCAGGATTCTTGCTGTGAGAAAACCATAAACAGTATGGGAATGCAAAAACATGAAACCAGAAGATGAGCCCACCAGGTCAGAAGGTGTCCAATATGTTACTGGGGAAGAGCAGAGGGTAATTACTAATAGCTCCAGAAAGAATGAAGAGGCTGGGCCGAAGCAAAAATGATACTCAGTTGTTGATGTGTCTGGTGGATAAAGTAAAGTCCAATGCTGTAAATAACAGTATTGCATAGGAATCTGGAATGTTAGGTCCATGAAATAAGGTAAATTTGGATGTGATCAAATGGGAGATGGCAAGAGTGAACATCGACATCTTAGTAATCAGTGAACTAAAATGGATAAGGATAGGCGAATCTAATTCAGATGACCATTGTATCTACTACTGTGGACAAGAATCCGTTAGAAGAAATGAAGTAATCCTCACAGTGAATAAAAGAGTCCATAATGCAGTACTTGGGTAAAATCTCAAAAACAAACAAAAAATGATCTCCATTTGTTTTCAAGGCAAACCATTCAACATCACAGTAATCTTAGTCTATGCCCCAACGACTGATGCTGAAGAAGCTGAAGTTGATCAGTTCTATGAAGACCTACAAAACCTCTTAGACTAACACACACACACACACGCACACACAGTCCTTTTCCTCACAGAGGGTTGGAATACAAAGATAGGAAGTCAAGAGATTTCTAGAGTAACAGGTAGGTTTGCCCATGGAGTACAAAATGAAGCAGGACAAAGACTAAGAGTTCTGTCAAGAGAACACACTGGTCATAGAAAGCACCCTTTTCCAACAACACAGTAGACATCTCTACATATGGACATCACCAGATAGTCAGTACAAAAATCAGATTGCTTATATTCTTTGCAGCTGAAGATGAAGATGTTCTATACAGTGAGCAAAAATGAGACTTGGAGCTGACTGTGGCTCAGATCATGAGCTTCTTATTGCAACATTCAGTCTTAAATTGAAGAAAGTAGGGAAAACCTCTAGGCCATTCAGGTATGACCTAAATCAAATTACTTATGATTATATAGTGGAGGTGACAAATAGATCCAAGAGATTATATCTGATAGACAGAATGCCTGAAGAATTATAGATGGATATCCATTACACTGTACACAAGGCTGAAGCCAAAATCACCCCAAAGAAAAATAAATGCAAGAAGTCAAAGTGGCTGTCTGAGGAAATTTTGCAAATAGCTAAGGAAATAAAAGCAAAAAGCAAGGGAGAAAGGAAAAGATATACACAACAGAATGCCAAATTCCAGAGAATAGCAAGGAGAGGTAAGAAGATCTTCTTGAATGAGCAGAGCAAAGAAGTTGAGGAAAACGATAGAATGGGAAAGACTGGGGGTCTTTTAAACAAAATTGTAGATACCCAGCGAACACTGCATGCAGGGATGGGCATGATAAAGACAGAAACAGTAAGGAAATAGCATAAGCAAAAGAGATTAAGAAGAGGTGGCAGAAATACACAGAAGTACTATACAAAAAAGCTCTTGATCTGGATAACCCTGATGGTGTGGTCACTCACCTAGAGCCAGACATTCTGGAATGTGAAGAAGAACTAAAGAGCCTCTTGATGAAAGTGAAAGAGGAGAGTGAAAAAGTTGGCTTAAAGCTCAACATTCAGAAAACTAAGATCATGGCATCCAGTCCCATCACTTCATGGCAAATAGATAGGAAAACAGTGAAAACAGTGAGATACTTTATCTTTGGGGCTCCAAAATCACTGCAGATGGTGATTGTAGCCATGAAATTAAAAGACACTTACCCCTTGGAAGGAAAGTTATGACCAGCGACAGCATATTAAAAAGCAGAGATGTTACTTTGTCAACAAAGGTCCATCTAGTCAAAGCTATGGTTTTTCCAGTAGTCATGTATGGATGTGAGAGTTGGACTATAAAGAAAGCTGAGCACCAAAGAATTGATGCTTTTGAACTGTGGTGTTGGAGAAGACTCTTGACAGTCCCTTGGACTGCAAGGAGATCAAACCAGTCCATCTTGAAGGAGATCGGTCCTGGATATTCTTTGGAAGGACTGATGCTGAACCTGAAACTCGAATATTTTGGCCACCTAATTGAGAAGAACCAACTCATTGGAAAAGACCGTGATGCTGGGAAATATTGAAGGCAGGAGGAGAAGCGGATGACCCAGGATGAGTTGAGTAGCAATCACTGACTCAATGAACATGAGTTTGAGTAAACTCCAAGAGTTGTTGTTGGACAGGGAGGCCTGGGGTGCTGCAGTTCATGTGGTTGCAAAGAGTTTGACATGGATGAGTGACTGAACTGAACTGATTACTTACAAATCCAGTTTTGGTGATGGAATTCCATCTGAGTTATTTAAAATACTAAAATAAGTTCTTGTTAAAGTGTCACACTCAATATGTCAGCAAATTTCGATAACTCAGCAGTGGCCACAGGACTGTAAAAGGTCAGTTTTCATTCCCATCCCAAAGAAGTGTAATGTCAAAGAATGTTCAAACTACAGTACAGTTGTGTTTATTTCACTTGCTACTGAGGTTATGCTCAAAATCCTTCAAGTGAGGTTTCAACAGTACATGAACAGAGAACTTCCAGATGTATAATACAAGTTTAGTAAAAGCAGAGGAACCCCAGATCAAACTGCCAACATTTGTTGGATCATAGAGAAATTTTCTAATGATTCCAGTAAAACACCTACTTCTTCTTCACTGACTACACTAAAGCCTTTGACTATGTGGATAACAACAAACTGTGGAAAGTTCTTAAAGAGATGGGAATACCAGACTACCTTACCTGTTTTCTGAGAAACCTGTACACTTGCCAAGAAGCAACAGTTAAAACTGAACATGGAATAAGTGACTGGTTCCAAACTGGAAAAGGAGAATGTCAAGGTGACAAGTATACTGTCACCCTGTTTGTTTAACTTAAATGCAGAGTACATCATGCAAATGCCAGGGTGGATGAATCACAAGCTGGAATCAAGATTGCTAGAAGAAATATCAACAAGATATATCTTTATATAGATATATATAACATATATAGTATATATAATATATATTATGAATATAATATAATATAATTGATATAATGTATGCAATATATAGTATATATTTATATATATTTATGTATAGAATCTTCCTCATGAGAAAATTTTTGAGGGCTAATGAGAAATTTTCTGTCTTCATTTATTCATTATGCATATCATAATGTCATATACATAAAGTATTCAGTAAATATACTGCATCTTTCCTGAAAGAAAATAATGAAATTATTTTTCCTAGTTTATTCAAGTATTTTTTTATTGGTATATTAAATTATTAGCTTTAAATATTTTCTGAAAAGAAATATTGTTCAAATAAATCTAGAAGTATTGAAAATGCTCCTTTTCAAAAATCTATAGAATGTGCAACACCAAAATTAATTCTAATGTAAAGATTGGAACTATGGACTTAGGGCAATAATGATGTGTCATTGTAGGTTCAGGGAGTATAACAAATGTACTCTTCTGAATGTTATGGTGGAGAATGCTGCCCATGGTCTTCTGTGTTTGCCCAGCATAAAAAATCCACTTGCAATGCAGGAGATGAGGGTTTGATCACTGAGTCAGGATGATCCCCTGGAGGAGGAATGACAACCCACTCCAGTATTCTCGCCTGGAAAAATCCCATGGAGAGAAGGGCCCGCGGGATCCCAAAAAGTCAGACACGACTGGGACTGAGCATGCATGCTGTCCATGTGTGGGGCAGGGGAACACTGAAGCTCTGTGTACTTTCTGCACAATCTATGGTGAATCTAAAAATGCACTAAAAATGAAGTTTATTAAAAATTGTTAACTAGTAATTATAGGCATCATCACTACGTTAACAATTATAGGTAAACTAATCAAAAAGTTATAACAATAAAAATTAAACAAATTTCATATATATATATATATTTCCCTATAAATAATAATAGTACTTCCCTGTGCCTCAGATGGCAAAGTGTCTGTCTACAATGTGGGAGACCTGGGTTCGATCCCTGTGTTGGGAAGAAATAATAATAGGATATCTATTAATGAGGAAAATCTAGCCACTAATAAAATTAAATAACAATTTAAATGCAATTTTTAAGTATTCCTATGTTATAGATATTTAATCAGTATAAATACATGAAGTAAAAAAAATGCTCTATGTTTGCTTAAATATAAAGAAATACCTTATATTGATTAATGACTTTCACATATAGGATGTTTCTTGTTAGAATGGAAAAGTTCAAATAAACTTTGGGTTTTGAAGATTAAAGTGTGAGAAGAGGTAGATATGAAAATGTTCACGATGAAGGGGTGTTTAGCATAGTATTATTTCTGAGTTCCACATAAAAATATGATTTCCACATTTTCTTTCCATCATACTATTGAACTTATTCTTTTTCTTTTTAAGATGTAAACAATTTAAAATTTATTAATCGTATATATAACTTTGCAGAAAATTGCAGGCAACTTCATGAAATAATTAAAACCTTTAAGAGTATAATAAAAATACATTCTAGGTAAATTTGAACCAATTTGAGAAAAAGACTGTAATATAAATTCAAAATCATATATAAAACTTACATGCTTTGTGAAATTTCTGCTTAACATCATGAATGGTAGATTTTTGTGTCACCTGAAAGATGGAGAGAATGATTAAGAAAAAGTATTCATTTGTTTGCTTCAAATTCATTTAATAAGAAAACATTTGTTTAATATGTTTAAAATACAAAATAAGTACAAAATGCCTAGCTTTTTTGTTTAGCTCTCTAGTCACTACATATCTGATGATTTTGAAACATTGCCTCTTTAAGGCTTTTGCCAAAGTTTTGTATTTACATATAGCAGCAATAATGTAATGATGAGGTCATCCAAATTTTTATTTCAAAATTTATTTTTATTAATTTTCTCTGCCTGTAATATTCAGTTTCTGACTTCCAAATTGGTGGGATTATCCATTAAAAGTATAATTAATTCAAAAGAAATAAAGTAAAAGAGTTATCAGAGGAATTCAGAGATATAAAATTTATTTACACAAATAAAAGAGATATTTACTTCAGAATACCATGTAGAAAAACAAAATATTATAAGTCTCATAGATATGTTTATAAAATTTTCACCCAAAGGTGCCATGGGACCATCAAAAATCTGTTAGATATATTTTTGATTCTTTAAGGATATTATTATTTGGTCCTAATCTACAGAAATTAAATCTTTCCAATCTTAGGAAAGGGCTTCCAGGTGGCACAGTGATAAAGAATCCACCTGCCAATGCAGGAGATGCAAGAGACACAGGCTCTATTCCTGGGTCAGGAAGAATGTTTGGAGTAGAAAATTCCAACAACAAGAAAAAAGGAGAAAAGTGTGGCAGAGGATGAGATAATTAGTTAGCATTACCAACTCAATGGACAAGAATTTGAGCAAACTCAGATAGTGAAGGAGAAGGAAGTCTGGTGTGTTGGAGTCACAAAGAGTTGGACATGACCTAGCAACTAAACAATAAATATAATAAAGTATTAGAAATATAATACAATATAAATATAATAAAATGTTAGAAAAGAGAATAAGGGAAGATGTTTCTTCATCTAAATAGGAAAATTCATTATGATAAGAGTTTTATCAAAGCACTTCAAACCATCACAGTAGTTTCTGACTTTCGGACTCAGTCCCTAGCCAGCTTGCAAACTGAAATTCCCCTGCTTCTAATTTCCCATTGCCTTATGATAAATGCAACAATCCTTCAAGGTCTATGTCAAAGATATTTTCATGTTCATGCAAGTTAAATATATTTCCTTTCTCTAAACAAATATAGAATATTGTGTGCATGGTTTATTTCAGTTTTTGCTACATTAACATCTTCTTATAGCTATTTTGGGAAGATAACATGAAAAAAAAAGTGTCCAAAAGGATGGTATATAATAATATTCATATTCTAGGCAGTTGTTATTGAGATTATTATATTTAATATTGTATTATAAATCAAAAGCATAACAAAGAGTAAATTTATTTTACTATATTACATTACCTCCTGTAACCAAGTGTGACAAACCATTCAGAATTTTTTATTTCTTCTGTGTTTATAGTACTAAACCAGGAAGTTTCAAGCACTGAAGAAGGATTTTTTTTCATTTGTATTATGCTTTAAATTACAAAAGAAACCTAAATGATTCTGTTAGTGTGAAATTTTAAGTTCTTCATATCATTGTCTTTTCTAAATGTTGGAAAATATTTCAAAATTTTAGAGAGAATAGTATATATTTATAAGCTTAAACATATCATGTTTAATTTTGATTATTAAACTTTGATTTTTGAGTTATATTTTTTTAAAGGTGATGGTTTGTTTTAACAATATTCACTCCATTATTTTGTTGTTATTTAATAACCATAAATAACATTACATAACAAAGCACCATTATATGTTGTGGCCTCTGACAAAGATGCCTAAGATCCATGTACTATTCTCTAGACTAACAAATATTTGTTCATCAGTCTTTTCAAGAGCCATCTATTTAAAAACATAATAATATATAATATAGTAATAATTCTCATGATTAACAACTCCTCAGGTAGGGTTCACTGTAGGCTCAGCTCCCGCTATTTGAAGGCACATAATACCCATGTCCGAGGTCAGGGGCAGCGGCTGACATGACCTATCCCAGGTCCAAGGTCAGGGGCGGTGGCCGAGAGGAGCAACCCCATATCCAAGGAGCAGCGGCTGCACAGGGGCAGGAGGGCCGAGAGGAGCTACTCCATGTTCAAGGTCAGGAGGGGCGACTTCGTCCAAGGTAAGGATCAGTGACTGTGCTTTAATGGAGCAGCCGTGAAGAGATACCCCAGTCCAAGGTAAGAGAAACCCAAGTAAGACAGTAGGTGTTGTGAGAGGGCATCAAAGGGCAGACACCCTAAAACCATAATCACAGAAGCTAGCCAATCAGATCACAAGACCACAGTCGTGTCTAACTCAGTGAAAGTAAGCCATGCCATGAGGGGACACCCAAGACTGTCAGGTCATGGTGGAGAGGTCTGACAGAATGTGGTCCACTGGAGAAGGGACTGACAAACCACTTCAGTATTCTTGCCTTGAGAACCCCATGAACAGTATGAAAAGGAAAAATGATAGGATACTGAAAGAGGAACTCCTCAGGTTGGTAGGTGCCCATTATGCTACTGGAGATCAGTGGAGAAATAACTCCAGAAAGAATGAAGGGATGGAGCCAAAGCAAAAACAATACCCAGTTGTGGACGTGACTGGTGATAGAAGCAAGGTCTGATGCTGTAAAGAGCAATATTGCCTAGGAACCTGGAAAATTAGGTCCATGAACCAAGGCAAATTGGAAGTGGTCAAACAGGAGATGGCAAGAATGAATGTCGACATTCTAGGAATCAGCGAACTAAAATGGATTGGAATGGGTGAATTTAACTCAGATGACCATTATATCTACTACTGTGGGAAGGAATCCCGTAGGAGAAATGGAGTAGCCATCACTGTCAACAAGAGTACAAAATGCAGTATTGGATGCAATCTCAAAAACGACAGAGTAATCTCTGTTCTTTTCCAAGGCAAACCATTCAATATCACGGTAATCCAAGCCTATGCCCCAACCAGTAACACTGAAGAAGCTGAGGTTGAACAGTTCTATGAAGACCTACAAGGCCTTCTAGAACTAACACCCAAAAAGGATGTCCTTTTCGTTATAGGGGATTGGAAAAGTAGTAAGTCAAAGGAGTAACAGACAAATTTGGCCTTGGAATACTGAATGAAGCAGGGCAAAAGCTAATAGAGTTTTGCCAAGAGAACGCACTGGTCATAGCAAACACCCTCTTCCAACAACACAAGAGAAGACTCTACACATGGACATCACCAGATGGTTGACACTGAAATCAGACTGTTTATATTCTTTGTAGCCAAAGATGGAGACGCTCTATACAGTCAGCGAAAACAAGACCGGGAGCTGACTGTGGCTCAGATCATGAACTCCTTATTGCCATATTCAGACTTAAATTGAAGAAAGTAGGGAAAAACCACTAGATCATTCATGTATGACCTAAATCAAATCCCTTATCAAGGTGGAAGTGAGAAATAGGTTTAATGGACTAGATTTAATAGACAGAGTGCCTGATGAACTGTGGATGGAAGTTCGTGACATTGTACAGGAGTCAGGGATCAAGGCAATCCCCATGGAAAAGAAATGCAAGAAAGCAAAATGACTGTCTGAGGGGGCCTTACAAAGAGCTGCCAAAAGAAGAGAAGTGAAAAGCAAAGAAAAGAAGGAAAGATATTCCCATTTGAATGCAGAGTTCCACAGAATAGCAAGGAGAGATAAGAAAGCTTTCCTCAGCGATCAATGCAAAGAAATAGAGGAAAACAACAGAATGGGAAAGACCAGAGATCTCTTCAAGAAAATTAGAGATACCAAGGGAACATTTCATGCAAAGACGGGTTCGATAAAGGACAGAAATAGTAGGGACCTAACAGAAGCAGACAATATTAAGAAGAGGTGGCAAGAATACACAGAAGAACTGTACAAAAAAAGATCCTCATGACCCAGATAATCACGATGATGTGATCACTCACCTAAAGCCAACATCCTGGAATGTGAAGTCAAGTGGGCCTTAGAAAGCATCACTGTGAACAAAGCTAGTGGAGGTGATGGCATTCCAGTTGAGCTATTTCAAATCCTAAAGGATGATGCTGTGAAAGCACTGCACTTAATATGCCAGAAAATTTGGAAAACTCAGCAGTGGCCATAGGACTGGGAAAGGTCAGTTTTCATTCCAATCACAAAGAAAGACAATCCCAAAGAATGCTCAAACTACTGCACAATTGCACTCACCTCACATGCTAGTAAAGTAATGCTCAAAATTCTCCAAACCAGGCTTCAGCAATACGTGAACCACGAACTTCTAGATGTTCAAGCTGGTTTTAGAAAAGGCAGAGGAACCAGAGATCAAATTGCCAATATCCTCTGAATCGTTGATAAAGCAAGAGAGTTCCAGAAAAACATCTATTTCTCCTTTATTGACTATGCCAAAGCCTTTGACTGTGTGGATCACAACAAAATGTGGGAAATTCTGAAAGAGACGGAAACACCAGATCATCTGACCTGCCTCTTGAGAAACCTGTATGCAGGTCAGGAAGCAACAGTTAGAGATGAACATGGACCAACAGACTGGTTCCCAATAGGAAAAGGAGTACATCAAGGCTGTATATTGTCACCCTGCTTATTCAACTTATATGCAGCATACAACATGAGAAACGCTGGGCTGGAAGAAGCACAAGTTGGAATCAAGATTGCCAGGAAAAATATCAATAATCTCAGATATGCAGATGACACCACCCTTATGGCAGAGAGTGAAGAAGAACTAAAGAGTCTCTTGATGAAAGTGAAAGAGGAGAGTGGAAAAGTTGGCTTAAAGCTCAACATTCAGAAAACTAAGATCATGGCATCTGGTCCCATCACTTCATGGGAAATAGATGGGGAAACAGTGGAAAGTGTCAGACTTTACTTTTTTTGGCTCCAAAATCACTGCAGATGATTTTGCATGATTGCAACCATGAAATTAAAAGATGCTTACCCCTTGGAAGGAAAGTTATGACCAACCTAGAAAGCATATTAAAAAGTAGAGGCATTACTT